ATATTTGTTCCAGTATGTGTTTATGAAAAGAAAAGGATAATGAAACCTAAAACCCCAGATGACAAACTCCCACATACAGTAGTAAAACCAGGTTGTTAGCTAGGGTTTGATATATGATGACAGACATATACAGAGATTGAAGATATTGCATGAAGATACTTGCTATAAATATTCAACAATGATCTTCACATATGCAAATCACAGCCAGAACAAAAGTGCTAATCTGTTGTGCAACATATACAAATTTTGATGCTCGACCTCGCCTATCATTTTATTCATTTACTAACAGTGTCACCCATCTTTTTGCATCAGTTATCTAGAGTATGTCATTCGTAGGGTTCTTTTCAATGAGATAGCTATAAACAACTCAAGACAATGATGACCATTGTGAATTTAAAACAATTGCAAAAGAAGAAAACCAAACCAAGACAGCAAGGAGACCATCCTTAAAGACAAAAACATAAAATGTTTAGTAATTGCAGAGAATTTTAATTACTGCACAGATGTTCCACAGTCCAACAATCATCTTCACTCTGTTACATTATTCAGTCAGGCAAAGAAAATCATGTGCAAACAATAAGGTTCCAACAAAATGGCTCCACAGATATGCACATTAGGAATGATAAGAACAATGGAAATGGGAATCATGCTCAAAAGTGTTTGCATGATACAGACATAATTCAAAACGGCAATTGCACATGCAACTGCAAATATAACCACAAGAATAACTTGCTTCCTATCATAGATAAAAAGAAGGAATTATCATCAGTGAAAAGAGAAAATAGTATCCAATGTCTAATAAAGTCACCATGATATGACTGTCATAAACACAGACTAATAATTGTAGAATGACACTCCCAAAGATCACTATGTAACAACCTAGTGTGTGCTTTAAAACAAAAAACACTAAAGCATTGTTGCAGAAATCTCTGACAAACAAAAACAAATCAGTGACTAAATGATCGTTACCTGTAAGTGACATCTTTACACCAGAAGCATGAAACAAAAAACCATAATCGAAGTGAAAAGATCAACATCATGGATGGTTAAACAGCATAATGATTTTACATGTAAACCTTGCCAAGGAATCTCTTGAGGGCACTAAAGAGAGAGTGTGTGTGGGACTCAATCGAGTACTATAAAGGATTCACTAACTATTAGCTATACGTAATATTATTCAAAACAACAAAAGATCATTTTCAGCAAGGCAGTGCCATGATGGCAAACAGCAACTTGGTTACATCTATGATAAGCCCACAACTTTTTAAGAGAAGAACATGCTAATTTTATGAGCCTACAATGAACAATATATTCAACCACAAGGTATTAATGCTTCTGACATTATTAACAGCTGAATTGAGAACAAAATAACCTAAACAAGATCTCTCTCTGACAAAATTGCATTGTTAATATCCACCATAAACACAGTATCCAATGCATCAAGAGAAAAGAAAGCCATTTCATATCCAAGATAACTCCAAAGGAACTGCTGTCAGAATAACATAACCAGTGGAAAAAAAAATTCAAGTTCCAATATTACCAGAGGTGGAGCAATTCCAACAAAATATACAATGAAAAGAAAACTGCAGATTACTCAACGAGAAGCTTTCTTCTTGCCAGCAACCGAGACCTTCTTGCCCTTGAGGGTGCGGCAGTTGTTCTTTGTTCTCTGCCCCCGACAAGGGAGCCCCATCTCATGCCTAATTCCCCTGTAGCACCGGATTTCCTTCAGCCTCTCAATCGCCAGCCTATTGAACCGCTTCTGCAAATTGAGATCGTGCACACAGAACAAAATCAAAATCACAACTTCAGCTCAATAAACACCAAAATTCAAGATAAAAGCCTAGAAAGAGAAGATAGTTATTCTTGTTCACAAAAGGTGAAACCATACATTTTGCAACTTCAACGCAAAAAACCAACAGAAACCAAGGCAAAAATCCGAGAAAACTAAGAGGTTTGATTCCTTACGAGGTCGCCTTCTATCATATACTTGGAGACCTCATCCCGGAGGGAGATGAGCTCCTCGTCGGATAGGTCCTTGGTGACCTTGTTTTCCAGGGAGAGGTCGCAGAGGATCTGACGAGCCCGAACACGGCCGATGCCGTGGATGTACCGGAGCGAGAACTCCACCCGCTTGTTGTTGGGGATTTCCACGCCACCGACACGGACGCAGCGGATGGTGAGCGCCCCGCGCTGCTGCGACTACGGCGAGTGATATCAGAGATAGGGTCGACGCGAGTGGCGAAAAACGAAGAGGCAAAAGGTTGTACCTTTGAGGCAGGGGAGGGAGTGGGGAAGGAGAGGGATCCGGGGCACGAGAAGGACGAGCCTCTGCTCGCGATGGAGAGGGAAGACGAGAGGGGAAGCAGCGACGACGCCATGGATAGGCCGGCCATTTCCTAACCTTCCCTTCGGCTACAGCCTCCGCTGTACAGTGACGTTATCGATAGGGTTGCGGTACGACTGGCTCGTTCACCTCGGAAGCAAGATAAGGGGGTGTGTTTTATTTTTATTTCTTTATTTATATTCATTTACTTATATCATTTTTTAGCAAACCATTTCTCCATCTATTTCTCGTTCCAATTCGATTTTTTATAACAGAACAATATATTAGGAAATAAAAAATACAGAAAAAGAAAAACGAAAATGAAGAGTAAAAATAATAATAATAATAATAATATTATTATTATTATTTACTTTTTTACAAAAGATAAATGATTAAGGAACGATTTGAATGTAACATTTGAACTCATGTCAAAGTTTTTTAAATAAAAAAAAAATTATTACATCAAATGACATAAATAGTATCTACCCATAAATTCAGACATCTGACCTCTCATTTACCTAATAAATGAACTAATCAACCCAAATGTCTTAACTAAGATGCTTTGTTAAAATTTTTATAAATTAATTTAGTCAATACTTTTAAAATTAATTTTTTTTATCAATTAAATTAGCCAATATTTTTAAAATTATTTTTTAAAAATTAAAACATAATTATAAGAACAGGATATGAAAACAGAATGGTTGATATATCTGGAGAGACAAAAGACAACACACACCACTGTGTTAACTCTTAAGGTAAACATTGTAATCGAGTGATCTCTTAAGTCTTTTTAGTGACTCTAAGGATATTTTCATTAAAATGAGATATTGCAACATCCAATATATGATCGACATGGATTGCATGAGGTTCTTAAAGAGTATGCTTTCCACATACTCTTACTTAAATATTGAATGGATATCCTTAAATATGTTGAGTGGGGAAGTTGGACAATCTCTTAATGTAGAAGCTTGAGTTTTTAGCTTTCTGATGCTTGACAAGTCACTCAACCCATCTACACACAAAGAGAGGGGTTATTTGTGGAGCTCTTAACTTTTCTACGGTTAACACAGCAAAATCATTATCTCTGCATCTCCAGGAAATTATTTTCTGAAAGATCACTAGATGACAGCTTTCAAATTCATGACTGCAAGCTTAGCACAAGTTATATGGGTTTGGCAGCATATCGGACATGGTGGGTTGTGCTCAGAGATGAACATTACTAAGAGAAGATCTTCCCGGATGCAACTTGGAGAAATAGTAGTGACAAGTGTGTGGATCTTGCTAGAACTAGTTGCCTAATCTTGAAAGAAACTACTGATGTGCTGAATGATTGTGCTGCCACCTAACTTTATTCTGCTACAACTTGTGAGTGAGAAACAGGGAAAGTTGATGCTTTGGCTGTCGCACACTACTTAATTAACCTGATTTACCCCCTTCAAATCATGTCAACTTTTTGAAGGTGATTAATGACTGGCGAGTGCATTATTCGATGGAATTGTGGCTGTAACATCTTGAAAAGGAAGTAATAGTTCTGTGGCTGATGGTGGTGAGGACATCAGTTTGGCAAAGGTTTTAAGATTTTCGATTTGTTTTGTTGGAGTTGATAAGTATTTTAGATTTTTAGAGCCAACATTCTTATAGGACAAAAAAAATGTAAGTATAGAAAGATTTTTTTCTTAGAAAAAAATCTTAAAAATTAGAGTTTTGTGAGGAAATAAAACCATCGAAGTCAAAGTTTAATTCTTCTTTATGTGTGTGTATATATATATATATACTTTGATTATTAGGATTCTCTTTTGATTTTTAAGGTCTTCTTTCCTTCCCAACATAATTTTATTGAAAGACCATTGTCAGAATGAAGCCCTAAAAATTAAAGTTTGATTTTTTTTTATGAATATTCTAAAAAAATTTCTTCAAGGAAGAAAATTCCTGAAAAGACTCGAATTTTTTTGGCATGTTTTATGGTTTGTAGGATTTTCTATTTATTTTGTATGTCTTCTCTCCTTCTCTAACACCCAACACAATTCCATCGAGTAGACAGCGAGTGGAGTGTTTATTCCCTGCAACTTTTCCTATGGCTGGCTAATGAACCAATCAGGTGACATTCTCAGAACCAATTCTCGAATAATAATCTGTTGTCCTTGCTGCGTGCTTTAGCTGTCGTAATTGTTTTGTTCTGATGCAATATTGGTGACAGGAAATCCCACCATATGATTCTATGCTTTGGTTTTAGATAGTGCTTCTTGGTCACACAAAGAAGGTGGCAACACAGTGAAGTTGCGAGCTTCACACACTGGGATAGGCTCCAAACACTGCAATCCAAGCATGATGAGCGCACCAGAGCGCTTTCCCCAACCTGCTACTACCTATAGATGCTCAAACCTCATCAGCATGCATTAGTGCTTGTTTCCGTTAATGCCTTCCTTTGGGTAGTCACAATCCGGTACGCAATTCTAAATGCCAAAAGAATGGCGATAGAAGCATCCGGTGTCTGAGCACCTCCTCTCCCATCGAGCTCGCCATCGAGCACAGATCCCTTTTGGAAATATGTAGTGCTTGGAGACTCTTCTTTCATGGCCCCCTCGGGGATGAGATTCTTGTGTGGTCAATGGGGTGTGACTTGGCTTTCTAGCTATAAAAGGAGGTTTGAGCCTCTGTAGTGTGCGATAGAAGTAGAGGTGGTAGAGGACGTAGAAGACGAGGCCATGGCTCTTGGTAATGCTTGGAAGAGTGCGAAGCCATACTTGGCCATGGTTTTCCTGCAGGTGGGTTATTCCGGGATGTACGTGGTCTCCGTCGCCTCCCTCAAGCGCGGCATGAGCCACTACGTGCTTGTCGTGTACAGGAATGCTGTGGCTGCAGCCGTCGTTGCTCCCTTTGCTCTGTGGTTTGAACGGTCTCTCTCTCTCTCTCTCTCTCTCTCTCTCTCACACACACACACACACACAGTTCATACTTTCCTGACAAACCGTAGTTAGGCTATCCTAGTTTATCTTGGTTGGATTATGCTCCAAAAGTTATTTCTTAGAGCCTATTTATCTTTCTTTGAAGACATTCATAGATGGAGTACTTCTATGTTGTAATGTATTTTTCCTCTTGATGACAGGAAAACGAGGCCCAAGATGACACTTCCCATCTTCCTCAAGATAATGGCTATGGGATTATTGGAGTACTGATCTATACATCACTGTCCATTTCTGTTTCGTGTTGTATTCCAATCAACGTGTTCATTAGTTCGAGTTCCTAATATGTCTTCATCCAGGCCTGTGCTCGACCAAAACTTCTACTACATGGGCGCCAAGAACACATCGGCAAGCTTCTCCTCTGCCATCTACAACGTATTGCCTGCTATGACTTTTGTCAATGCCATTATCCTTAGGTGAGATCTTCCACTTCCTCTATCTCAGCATGGAATATGTTGATCGGAAGATTGATGGTTTGTTTGTGTGATTAGGATGGAGAAAATTGATATCAAGAAGCGACGTAGCCAAGCGAAGGTTGTCGGTACTCTGGTGACGGTGATCGGTGCACTGCTCATGATACTGTACAAAGGCCCGGCCATCGAGTTTATATGGACGAAGGGAAGGAGCCATCACGCCGACGACGGTAGCCAAAACCAAAGCCACTGGCTTGTCGGCACGTTCATGCTCTTGTTCAGTTGCTTCTGCTGGTCTGCGTTCTTTATACTGCAGGTAATATCAAGTTTCAGCATCAAAATCTTTGCTGAGGTTGCAGTCATGAACTCAACACGAACACATTAAGGTGACTTATCGTGGTGGTCTTTTGATGTTGGACAGTCGCATACCTTGAAGTCCTATCCTGCAGAGCTCTCCTTGAGCACCTTGATATGCCTCACGGGTGCAGGACAAAGTGGAGCCCTTGCTCTCGTGATGGAGCGCAGTGCCCAGCCTTGGTTGATAGGATTTGACACGAGACTCTTCACGGCCGTTTACTCCGTAAGATGCTTCCTTTGATTCCATCTCCTTCAGATTTCTTGAGCTCACATCTGAACTCTTCCTGCGCAGGGAATAATGTGCTCTGGAATTGCCTATTACGTTCAAGGGATGGTGATGAAGGAAAGAGGCCCTGTCTTCGTCACAGCCTTCAACCCTCTTTGCATGATCATAACAGCTATAATGGGCTCCATTATTCTAGCAGAGGATATCACCCTGGGAAGGTACAGTGTCAACTATCTCATTCCACCATGAACAAAGCACATTTACTGTCACCTTCTCCTGGAAATCTGCAGACTTTTGGGTGCAGTCATAATAGTCATCGGTCTGTACTTCCTCATATGGGGTAAGGGCAAGGATCACTTGGCGCAACCCTCAGAGACCATCGCGAAGGACGCGGCACTCGTGCTGCCGAAGGTTGCAGACGATGCCAACAAGACGACTTCGATCGACCACGTCACTGTCATCGACGTCCAACCTTCGAAGCATCCCTAAAGGCAAATAAGCTCCGGTTTCTCTACGTAACTAAGCATCCATCACCTATCTTAGCTCTCGCTGTAGGAAAACATACTCAATACTGAAACGAAGAAGATGACTCGGATCGGATACAGCTTTATAGTGTCGAATGTTCGCTATGCGTGAACAATGATACGAGTAATATGCTTGTAATTTTTGTCGTTAGCTGTTACTATCATGATCAGAGTGTGCTTGCTCTATCAGAATCATTCTTGTTGTTGGTGCCACTGTCTTCTCCTTCAGAAGCTGTCCATAAACTTCACCGTGCAAATGGGCGAGAGCTCTCTTTCGTGTAGTGGCTCCAATCACCACCGAATAAGACCTCGATTCGATTAATTTATCTGATGAAATGGACTTTAGTACTGATAAGGAAAGTAATGGCATAAGCATCACCATCACCATGCTGACTCACCCAACCGTGGGCTGTCGTCTGTGCGCCAAACGTATGTGGTAGAACCAATGCCGCTCTCCTGCCGCCGTGGACAGGAACACGATCCTCCGGCCTTGCTCGTCTGGATCTCCGAGAAAGTCGTTAAGTCAATCACTGGGTGCATGGGTTCATACGCTTGGTTATGGAGGGCATTAACCATGACAAATGATGTTATCTCAAAGAAGTTTCAACCATGACAAATGATGCCATCGAAGCCATCCTTCTCTGTCGTCGTAATTAGAGAAACATACTCACTAGCTCTTGACATAAATAAGCTATGAACGAGCAAACACATCTACTATCTCCTACCTATCAATTAACTTTATCATCGGAGGAGTCGGGTTGGGAACATTCCCTTGCGATGGCCACTTGTTTAGGGACCTCAATAAGCCTAAGACTTATTTTGAGACGACTTAAAAACTCACTTCCGGTGGATAAGTAGGAATTGTGCTAATCGATTCCACTTTTTGCTCCGATCTCCTCACACAACCCAACCCAACTCCTCTCCCCCTCGCACCGCCGCACCATGGGCCTCTTGGATAAGCTTGTGCCTTCTTGATCGAATGAAAGCTGGACTCCCCGTTCAACACATCAACGATAATAACATAATTCAATTGATTAATTAATTTATTAGGTTTCATAAATTAAATTTAATACTATACCAATCAAGTCCTTATGTTCTATTTCCAACGTGGGATTAAGCTGACGTGTCACAGTTTCAGCACAGAAATGCAACCAGCACTTGCACGTTGGAATTTGCAACGGTTTAGATAAGATTGGACCGTCATATCCGATATTTATGGACGTTACAAACACCTGTGAGAAATAATTAAAACGGTTTATATCGGATCGGACCGAGTCAAATCCAGTAGTACAATTAAGCACGTTACAAGCACCTAAAAGAGATCTACGATCTAATGTTCCCCAAGTGGAGAACCAAGAAATGGACGGTTCGGATCAAATATGTCCTGCCTCACCGTCCCTTCCTGGGCTCGATCCAGTTTGTGCCCTAATGACTTCGCATTCCATCCCAAATCCCCAAACAGTAGCGGAGAGGAGAGGAGCGGCAGGCGAGCGAGCTAGCGGTGCCACCACGGCCACCGGCCGGGAGAGCGCGAGCGGAGCAGCGAGGTAAGAGCGTTTTCGTGGGCGCGTGATCTCTATGGCCTGTTGTTCCTCCTCCTCCTCCTCCTATTCCTCTTCCGCTTGTTTATCCCTTCTCCTATTCCCTTTTACTTCTCGGACGGCCATCGGCCGAGAACCAAAGAGGAGAAAGAGGAGGGCGCTTTGGTAAATCCGAATGAAAGAAACGATTCTTGTGCGTTGTCTGGTCCTCTGCAGGAGAGTGAGAGGTTGAGGGAGTGCCGTAGAAAGAGGGAGAGAGATAGATATTTGAGATATAGATATAAAAGAACCGCTCTTGAGAGAACTAAGAGTGAAGGAAAGGGAGGAGATTGACAAAGAGAGAGAGAGAGAGATTGAATTAGAGGTACCGTCTCTCGCTCTACTTGATCTGTGTGCTCTCGACGATCATCATCATGGCCAACAAGCTTGTGGTTAGTGTCTTCGATCTCTTTCTTGGATGATTCTTTTGTTGATTAGTTAGTATTGACTTATTGAAGACGTTTGGGGCCTTATATTTAGGTTCTTGGAATCCCTTGGGATGTGGACACGGAAGGATTGAGGCAATATATGAGCAAGTTTGGGCCTTTGGATGATTGCGTTGTCATGAAGGTTGATATTTCTGTACTCCATCTGAAATTTTATTGCTTTACCTTAAAGGGACTTAATGTTAATTGTTATATCTCATCTGATTTGTAATTGATGGAGTTCCCTTATACATGGTTTTACTTTTTTCCATTTCCTCCTTTAATCGTGGTGTGAGAGCAGTGGCCTCACTTTGAGTGGGATTGTCTATGTTTTTTAATCAGAAATTATCAGTATCAACCTTTTTTACTTATTAGTTCAGTGATACTTTTCACCTCTCCTGACATCTTTCTTTCACTCCAAATTATCAACTACCACTTCTTGGATAAGATGTCCAATTATGTGCTTACAGCTACTGCATGCCTATGATTTCTCTTTTATAACATCATGTTACACTAAATTGAATGAATAATTAAGGTGGTGCTGGATTCTGAACTCAAGACAGATTATTTTCTATCCATTCTCTGCATGGCTGAAAAATCTTTAGTAGTTTATGAACTCAATTGAAGAAAAATTCTCTTTTCTATTTGAGTGTTAACTCTTAAGAAGGTTCGACACATTTTTTTTCATATTTACTTTGTTATATTTTTTGCACTCTACATGTGTGGAAAACAGAAAAAATAACATGCAGTAACTTTGTGTGTCTTATTTTTTGGAATTCCTTTAAGGGTTAAAATAGGTAGATACATATACCTAATATTAAGAACTTGAAGAAGGAATCATGCGAAAAATTGTATGGGAAAATGTAGTTTAAGGAGATATTGGTCAACAAAATCAAGAAGTCTTAATATCAGTGATATATTTCAAAACAAGGATCCTCAAAGGATGTTAAAGCACTATGATAATTGTGTATCAGCTTCACTAGTTTTAGATTTCGTCATCACAATCTCTGTGTTATCTCTATTGTTCTCCTGAATCTCCTCTATATTACTTGTTAAATTTTATGGTGTTTAATTAACTGGATTTCCCATGAGTATATTTCTTTTCAACTCATCAGTTTTGTTTCTTGTATTATAGGAGCGTTCCACTGGTCGTTCTCGAGGCTTTGGCTATGTAACTTTCTCATCAGAGGAGGATGCTAAGGTAACAGGAAGCTGCGTCTGTGTTTGCTGATTTTTATACAGATTTCAGGATTTCAGAAGTATTTTTCTAGAGAGTAACTTGTGCTCATGCCTATAAACTATCACTTCACCTTTTCTGGGGCCTGTTTAGCTTTCTTATATTTTCATATCAGTATGTATATTATCGAATTTATTAAGAAATCTTGTGTATTTTTTAAAAATATTAAGAAATTCCTCTGTGGATAAATTACAGCTTCTCTTATAGGGTGCTTCATTGTTAGGGCTTACACTACTTGTCGATAGTAAGCACCTTAAAAAAATGTTCCAGTTGAAATTGAAGTTCTTTGTCTATTTTTATTTTTGACTTCCTGAAACCATTTATGAAGAAATATATAACATCGTTTCAGAGCATATATTATGAGAAGCATTGTCCACTGCCTATTGGTTGATATAAGGTTTGTCTTATCTGTTGTATATACCTGAATGAAACTGCTTTGGTTATATTGCTTTGCTATTGTAGATATTAGTTTCATATACTACTGGATAACCACTTCTATTGAAACCTTAGATTGTACAATTGGTTTGGAAGTATTCATGGGAATGCAGGAACATTTAAAATTGTCTCGGTTGGGATTAAGCTTGTGTTGGTGCTGATTCATTGAAGAGAAAATTTAGGTGCTTTAAGAAGCCAGAGAGTACCAAATCTCAATTTCTTTTAGTTTGAAGCCTGACCAGTTATCAATCCTGAACATTAAAAGCTAACTTTGTTTTTAATTTGAATTTAAAGAATGATCACAAAATAAATCTGTTAGTTTGTTAAAAATAAAGTTAGTGCTTATAAGAGATTTTAGATGTATGAATATTGTGAATTACAACATCATCATGGAATTCTGCTCCACTTTGTTGTCCGGTTCTTGATTATTGACAATGAGACTTTTGAGCCTAACTATTCTTGTTAGGCTGCATGCATTATTTTCTAACTTTTAGACAATCGTTTTGCTTTCTTATTGTACTAGTCAAGTACTAGGTGATCTGTTGTTTACTTCTATTTACAGGTATAAACTTTTTAAAGTAAAATTTCCGGTTTAGTTTTGGAATCGATTTGCAGTCTTTATTATCTTGTTGCTGTTGTCCGCCATTTTCTGAGCATGAGTCTTGGTAAAATGGTAAGGTTGCACTTTAGTGATTGGTGACTAGGGTCTAAGGTATAGAAACAATCACTTTACTTTCACATTGGCAGAGCCTTGTTCGTTGGGTTTATACTTTTATTTGTACATTGTTCTCTTTGGGTGATAAGATGATTTTTGTTGATGTTCATTCTTTCGTAAAGGTTGCATTGTCATCTATTGTTTGCATACTGCTGAAAGCTGTGATCTTATGCAATAATTTTTCTGAGAAATGATTCTGTGAAATTAACTATATGCTCTCATCCAGAATGCACTTGAAAGTGAGCATGTTCTTGGCAACAGAACTCTTGAGGTGAAGGTTGCAACACCAAAGGTAATTGTTGTTAGATTCTGCATCAGTGTTGTTACTTGCCTGTCCTTTTTCTCTTTTTTTCTTTCTGGTGGTTTCTCTTAAATGCTATTGTAAAAAGTGCTAAGAAGGATAAATTTTATATTCTTGCTTTCTCACGTGTATGTTTGCATGATTTGAACATGATTGTTTATTATATAGGAAGAGATGCGAGGACCAGTGAAGAAAGCTACCCGAATATTTGTTGCAAGGATCGCACCCTCAGTCACAGAGGCAATGTTCCGAAGGTTAGTTCTTCCTTCATGGTTGTGCATCATCACCATGTTGGTGACATAATTTTCAAAAATCTTGCATATTTGACGGTTATACAAACATTCACCTTATGGCACCTTTGCAGTTATTTTGAAACTTATGGAGTAATAACAGACCTGTACATGCCAAAGGTGAGGGAAGTTATTTTCACTTTTTTTTTCTAAGTTGAACAAGAACTCTTTAAAGCATTGACAATTATGATACTACTCCAATTTAGATATTTATAATTACTGATATCTACATGATGCATGTAGTCATACTATGAGGTTAAATTAATGGTGCACATAATTTAATATATTTTGAAAGATGTACTTGTCTGTATTCCTTTTGGAGTTTGCTTGGTGACTTACAGATATTAAAATAGTGTGTACATATGAAAGCACATTTTAGTTATTTTTTGCTGAACTTCTCCTTGATGGATTGTTTGACCATATTCTGAAAATCCAAGAGGGAAAAACGGTGATCACGAATGCTTTTGAATGATGTGAATTGTAATATTGTTGCTGTAACAGCATGCTAACATGTTTGAGACAATGTCTAGTTGATATCTCTAGCATAGTTTATGTATTGCAATTTGGATCTATGACAATTTTATCAGCAGTATGATCGATTCTTAGCAATTTGTATGCAGGATCAAGGTTCAAAAGGGCATCGAGGAATTGGCTTTGTCACTTTCGATAGTGCAGGTATGATATTGATTGCTCTTTTCTGTCCTAGTTCATATGGTTCTTGATTTTACAGTTTAATGATTTTCTTGTTATTGTTCTAACTGTACTAATTCTACAACTTGATTAGTTGATAAATTTCTGAAGCTCAGTTTTTGATTTTCTTAGCTTATATTGATGTGTTTTCTAAAAATAGCTACAAACATAGAATTTATATTTAGCTAAGCTTTTTTCCCTGGTGCGTTTGTATTCTATGCTGAATTGAGTAAATTGGGTTTTAAAGAACAGCATAACAACAAAGATTCAGATTGTTTTCTGTATGATGTTGATTGCTCATTTTCTGTCCTAGTTCATATGGTTCTTGATTTTACAGTTTAATGATTTTCTCGTTATTGTTCTAACTGTCCTAATTCTACAACTTGATTAGTTGATTAATTTCTGAAGCTCAGTTTTTTATTTTCTTAGCTTATACTGACGTGTTTTCTAAAAATAGCTACAAACATAGAATTTATATTTAGCTAAGCCTTTTTCCCTGGTGCGTTTGTATTCTATGCTGAATGTAGTAAATTGGGTTTTAAAGAACAGCATAACAACAAAGATTCAGATTGTTTTCTGTGAGATAATTAGCCTCCTTATAATGACTTTATTTGCTTTCTTTATGAATGTTGAATAGTTGCAAAGAAGTCTTATATCTGGTCAGAGTCTTCTTTAAGGTTTCACGAGCACATGCCTTCTCATCTTCATTGTCCTAGATGCTTGTATATCTAGCTGTTCTTTAATTACCTGTGAGTCATATTGTGAATGCAATTTGAGTTCCTTAGCACTATTTGGAATCACTTTCTGGGGTTAATGCAACAAGTCTTGGTCCATGTTGAGAATTTTGATGTCTTTGTTAATGCAGAAATCACCTAATGTTCTTTACTTAGGAAACAAAGATGTTTAATCCAGATTGTCATAACAATATCCGTGCCATCAGCCTTACAATTTTTACTTGTTATCATACCAAATCTTCTGGCATGACTTTGGATTCAATTTTAATGAGCACGAGACTATTTCAATGCATACGACTTCCATGTTTAGATGTGTTCAGTAACCCAATCATTTGAAAGCTAAATTATGGTATATATCATGAAAGAACTTATGTCAATGTTGTAATGTGAGCATTCACCATCTAGAATGTAGTGTATTTCAATTAATGTTGTTATCTATGTGCAAGAATATTCTAAGAATGATGTATGATTTGGTGGTAAGTTGAAGGTTTTAACTCCCAAATCATCTTCCACTTAATCCTTACTTTTTATTAATTGAGCTATTGCCAAGCTCACACTTGAGACGATCATGAGCTGCTTGGAACTGGTTTTGTAATATCACAGCCATGGGCATGCAATTATACAAAACTGATGCACACACCCATTTGCTACTGCTTACCACATAGTGGTTGGTATTTGTATGATTTATGTCTTTGAAAGAGACCCTGCATCACTAATATCATGCCCCTTGTTGGATATGCATCTTCCTTTCAGTTTTATTCTTGTGTTGAACCCTGCAGTTTTGCTGTAACTCATGTTGTATATGAACCCTCTCCGATAGGCAGGTATTCTTTTACTCTTTTCTAAGTGACCATTCTTATATTGCCTTCTCAAATGAACAGATTCAGTGGATTCCATAATGGCAGAGTCGCATGAACTTGGTGGCTCTACTGTGGTTGTTGACCGTGCTACTCCAAGGGTAAACATCTGTTTGAATTTGGGATCTCTGGATTGGATAATGGAGATCACCTCCATCGTCAATTGTAACAACGAATGGTGCTGTACCAGACTTTCATTCCTGAAAATTGTTTTTGCTCTCTTTTTTGACATAGAATGATGACATGAGATATCCAAGCAGAATGGCACAGGGTGGATATGGTGCATATAATGCTTATATTTCAGCAGCAACTCGGTATGCGGCTCTTGGTGCTCCAACGCTATATGACCAGTTTGGTTCAGCATATGGAAGTATGTGTCACATTTTAAGTAACAACAGAGCAACAACCTTTGATGGAAGTATGAAGCAATTCCTTTGTCAATGATCTAGGAGGATATTTTGGGCCTTCACGTGGGATGGGCAGAAAGATATTTGTTGGAAGACTTCCCCAGGAGGCAAGTGCTGAAGATCTGCGCCAGTACTTTGGCAGATTTGGTCGGATCGTGGATGTATATGTTCCAAAGGTAAATTTAGTTTTTCATGCATGCTTCATTTTTTTGGCCATTCTAATTTTGGTAATTTTTTACTTTTTGATGATTAGGACCCTAAAAGAAGCGGCCATCGAGGGTTTGGTTTTGTGACTTTTGCTGATGATGGTGTAGCAGATCGTGTGTCGCGCAGAACACACGAAATTCTTGGACAGGAGGTACATGATAGGATGATTTAGATTTTATGCATTTGGAAAGTATGATTGGCTTTTTTTTATATCCAAATTAAAGATGGAAACTTTAATTCTATTGTCTTTCTGTTTCATGTATATTTCTTTGGCCCTTTATCCCTGCACAACAAATTTACTCGACTTTTATTTTCTTTCTGACTCTCCTGAATAATGAGAAATACACACTAAACAAAGAAACTCGATGACTTTAAGTAGATTTTTTGAGCCTGGGAGAAGTTTCATGAGATCCAAAGAAGCTTATCTATGTGAATCAGCTCAATTCTGCCGTGGGATGTTGTTGTTCTTGTGAGATCAAGGGGCATAGATGGTCTGGATGGAAACCTAAAGATACAGTTTATTTTTCTGAAATTGACGAGTACAGTTGGAACAGACGGATTTGGGCCTAATTGACAAGTCACATAAGAAGTGCAACTTATTGCATTATTAGTTTCTTTGTATTTTCTGTCAAACTACAGCCTCGTTTGGACCTCTCTTCTATTTACAACTTTGTAATGTTTCATGGTATTGTTTTCTGAGATAAGACATCTGATTACCATTTGTGCTCTTTTGTGGAGTAGGTTGCTATCGACTCAGCAACACCACTTGATGATGCTGGTCCTAGTGGAGGTTTCATGGACGCTGCTGAGGCTTATGGAGGGTATGGTCCTATGAGAAACTACGGCAGGCTCTACGGCAGCCTTGATTTTGATGATGTGAGTATATTACTCCATTGGCTGTGTGTATGCAGTACTTTATAAGGATAAGTATACGGTGATTTCAATCTGTCTTCATATACAAATTGAGAATCCGAGCAGGTGCCAAAAGAGTAATAACAGACTTATGTGGCTTGTGCTTCTTGTTCATTACCTTTTGCAGTATGGTTACGGTGCCAGCGCCAGCGCCAGCGGGAGCAGCAGGCCGTCAAGATTGGATTGGAGGTACAGACCTTACTGATGCAGGTAGCACACTTCTGGTGACTTGTCGGCGGCATTCACATTGGACTACTACATACAATGCTAAATTTGTAAGGATGATATGCTTGGAAGTAGTCAGGCTGGGATAGATTGTTGAAAACATTTGAGCAGTGTTATTATCAACGTGGTTTGTCACTATACTGAACCATCATTTCCTCTGCGATGTTAAGAAGCTTATGTTCTAGCGTTTCTGCATGTGTAGTCATTGTGGCATGAGCTGTTTGAGAGCAGCATCAGCGCAATTAACAAATTCTGACCAGTTTCGATATTTGGTTACTATGATATCTGCTCCTCCCTCATCAAAGAGGGTGCATTCCCCTTTTGATGTTTGGATACTCTGATTGCCCCTGCGTAAGACGCCCATTGATATTTTTAACTGTCTCAAGCATCAAATAGAATCAAAGCTTAGTAGATGGGTCGGTTCTTAGCTTTCTCAAGTTGGCCTGATCACTCTAATTAACTAACTTGTTCTCGAATATAACTCACTTTCACTCTCTTAATGTTCTTTGGTTCGAATCAGATCAGATTTGAATGGAGAATTGTACGCTACTCACTTTCACTCTCTTAATGTTTGGAGCTGTCGCTATCGGTGCGCTGGTGGCCGCCCACGTGTTCCTCCTCCCCTCCGCCGCCGTCCCCGACGCCTTCAAGCTCCCCAAGGCATCTCCACCTCCTCTATTCGTTTTCTTTTGGTTTCCCCTCCTCAAAGGAGGCTTCTTTACGTTGCTCCAAACCTAAACATTCCCACATTTCTGGCTTTCTTGATTCTTGAAAGGAGATTAGGTGACGATTTCTTGATTCTGTTCTGTGACATTTGGCCGCCTACACCGGTTATGTAGGCGTATATTTATGTATTCTTTAATCAATGACTGAATATTTTGATACGCAAAAGCGGAAAAAGATCCAATTTTTAGGACTTGGATTTATGATCCTTTGCCCACATCTATGATATGACCCGATTTTGTGGTGGTGATGGTGATGTTTAGCAACGTGCGATTGGATACCGGCGAACGGCTAACGAGCTCGGCTGGACCCAGGAAATCGCGCATCCCCAACTCGCCAAGCTTCGGATTTCCACTCAGAAGGTAATCTTGTACTACGTGTCACGGAATGTTGCTTTAGTTATTGATGGGTTACAGCTGTTGTTGTTGTTGCAGTTGGCAAATTATTATGCTCTTGTATCCCTTTTTGAGTTTTTGTTTTTTTGGTGTATAATGGGTCATTTATGGTCAAGAAGGTGTTTTTGGCTCCTCTAATTGGTTTCACTCTCTCTATACTTTGCAGGTGGGCATCACGATATCAGATTCTTGGTTCGCGAAGTTGTGGAAGCCTCCATCAAATCGTAATTTTGTGCCCTGTGTCTCTCCCAGTTCATCTTTTCTGCGTAAGGGAGCACGATAGGATTATGTCGATCTTTTGGTTTTTGTACTGTATTTTTTTCCTGCTTTACTTCATGTGATCCACTAACATTTTATTCAATTTGATATTTTTCAGCTCCTTCTCAATCGAGGGGCTACTTGCTAGTTCATGCCAATGGTGGGTTAAACCAAATGCGAGCTGGGGTATGCAGTGGTTGCTCTCTCTCTTTCACTTGACCGTTCTTTTATGTTGTAACCCCTCATTGTCTACAAACAAGTTATGAGAAAGCAGCAAAGTACACCCACACAATCCTTATTAGAATAATGTAGCAGCATAAAAAAGATATTGATGTCAATCTAGTACTTGCCCTACATCTTGGTAAGAATATATTGAAAATGTAGCTGCACGGGCCTAAACCAGTTTGCTTGCTGCATTTCCAATGTCAAGTTTCAAACTAGTATGAACGGGAGAACTTAGCATGTATGTTTCATTGTCGAGTAAAGAATTTAGCTGAAGACTCTGGTACCTTGAGTTTTGGAAATTAAAAAAGTATCCTGGAGAATGCTGAAGTCAGGTCTGTAAATAGAAGAGTATATGCTCATAAGTTAGATTATGGGACAATTGGGAATGGGAACAGTAAATAATTTGCAAGAAGAAAGAAATCATCGTATTATTTTCCAATTCCATATTAGTAATTATCAAAGTCGAGGAAACTCTTTTTCATTCATTAGGATGTCTAGTGCTTCTAAGACAGTCTTCTTTCTTGCTAATTTTTGATGCTTTGTTACCTAACTAAGCTATTACGCAAACCTTTCTCCAAAAGATTGATGAATTGACCTAACATGGTGAGTCTCTGACAAATCCAAGTAGCCCAACCGATTTCCCATGCTTCCAGTGATCTTTCCTAGTGCCCACTTTCCAGCAGATCTCAAATCTATTCCAACCCATCTAATAAACTATGAGTTCTGGTTCCGTATCCAAATTACATCAACTAACCCAGAAACTGATATGTGTACCTTCATTCATGTCATCGATGCCATTACCTCCATGTTGGCTACGTTTTTTTTTATGGCCTCTAAATAATTTGATTGAACATAGTAAGTTTTTGTGCTAAATTTGTTACTGATGTTTTACAGGCAATCAGGTCATGATTGATGGACCTTTAGTTAATTTTGTTTGCCACTTCTTTCTTTTTCAAATGCATCAAATGAGATTCTTGGTTGTGTATCCTATTCCTTAATTAATAATATAATCTATAGCTTACACAGCTACCTGTTGTATTTACAGAAAGCTATTTTGCATCGTGTAAAACTTATGATGTCTATCCTTTATGGTTTTTATTTATTTAATATATTACTGGTTGAAACCTCATGAGTATTGTCATTATGAATGGCAGATATGCGACATGGTAGCCGTTTCACGATTGATTAATGCCACACTTGTTATTCCTCAACTTGATAAAAGATCGTTTTGGCAAGATTCTAGGTACGAGTTTTTTCTTGTTTGTTTTTTATTATGTAGTAGAAGCACTTGAATTATATAGATGTTGTTGGTAAAAATCATCCACATGTGTTTGTGCTAAGAACTGTCTCTCATACATGTTCCTAAAGCTACTATAAGCATATAACTAGAAGTCACGTCATGTGGTAGGTTCCAAACTAGTCTTTATGTTTCTAATACAGTGATAAAGTACTGCTATTTAATTCAGTTCATATAGGTGAATTTGCATATGCTTAGGTGCCTCTGATGCTTTTCATGTTTATGTGCCAGCAATTTCTCTGACGTTTTTGATGAAGAACATTTCATCCACACCTTGGCCGATGATGTCGAAGTTGTAAAGAAACTACCAAAAGAACTGATGACAGCTGCAAAAGCAGTAATACATTTTCGAAGCTGGTCAGGACTAGATTACTATCAAGATGAGATATCACACATGTGGGATAAATATCAGGTATATTTGCTGGTATCTTGAAGTTCATCTCGTATCCTTCTACTAATATACAATAGTCATAAGTGATAATATTTCCTATCTAGATCTTCTCTTGGCAGGTTATCAAAGCTGCCAAGTCAGATTCACGTCTTGCAAACAATAACCTTCCTCCTGACATTCAAAAACTTCGTTGCTGTGCTTTTTATGAGGCTCTCAGATTTGCTCCACGGATTGAGGCACTAGGAAAAGTATGTCTTTCATACTATCTGTTTGCTGCTAATTAATTTTTGTCCGACAACCGTGAGTTTTTTTCTTCTTAATCTGTAGTTATTGGTGGAGAGAATGAGGTCTTACGGTCGATATATTGCTTTGCACTTGCGTTATGAAAAGGACATGCTTGCTTTTAGTGGGTGCACGTATGGCTTGTCTTCAGTTGAATCTGATGAATTGGCAAGAATTAGGTATTTTACAAAATACCAGTTCTGGATTCTGGGTAGAGGTCGAATGTTTGTTTTATTCCATTAAACATGTTTCCTCTTTCTTCAGAGAGAACATTTCATATTGGAAGGTTAAAGAAATTGATCCCCAAGAACAAAGGGCCAAAGGGTATTGTCCATTGACCCCAAAGGAGGTTGGAATCTTTCTTTCTTCTCTTGGATATCCATCGAATACTCCAATATACGTTGCAGCAGGGGCGATATATGGAGGCGGCTCTCATTTGTCTGATCTAGAATCTCGTTTTCCCATTTTATTAAGCAAGGTACGAAATGCATGGCTTCGCAAAATTCAAGAGGTAGCTTATTATGAGACTTGCTTTGGTTTAAACTCTTTTATGTTCAGGAACCTTTTCCTATGGTGGACATATTTTGTACTAGTACACTGTTCCTTTCTACCCTTCTTCCACAAACACACAAACAATAATATTTCAATTTCCTGCTAACATTGGCAATTATGGAAGTTGCACTTGTAACTTACGTCTGCTTTATTCAAAACTAGTCATCACAGATGAATATAAATTGTCTTTATGGATTGTCAATAACCATTAGAGCTGCACTTTGGTGGTACTTCCTACTTGCCTGAATTAGACTGACCAAACAAAAAGGTGGTTAAACATAAAGGTCTCAATTCTCTACTTCCTCTCCATTTGTAAAGTTATTTAGATCCCTCCAATATCAGTTATGAAGTGAATATTTGAACTCATCATCCTTATTCTCCT